TGGATTAGCATTTGTTTTAATGATCTAGAATAAAACAGAAAATATGAAAGAGAATTAGAGGTAGCAAGTTACATTAGTTACATTATTCTATAATGATAGTGTGTGTACATGCTTATATGTGCATGTATGTGTGCATTTGTCAGATCATTGTCAGAACAATTTCAGATATATATCTTTGAAATAGAATTGAAGTTTACATTCATGATCATCCAATGATGTTCTAATATTTTAATTTTCCTTTTGTGTTTTAGAAAGCTCCTTGCCTTTGGTTCCAATCATTAAAGCCCCTTTATTCAATGACACAAAGGAAGTAGAAATCGGTAAGAAACTTTTAAACTGTTGTAAAAGTTACCTGAAAGATCCTTCCATCGGCCCTTTGGTCTGAATTCTGCTAGAAGGGGTCCCCAGTGATCACAGAGGACCTTCAGGATTACGTGAGATGACGTCATGGCACTACCTGATGCAAGCATTTGTTAATCTGCATCATGAGCAAGCATAAGAATGTGAAGCCTCTATACTTATATTATACTCTGCAATTCATGGTCCTTTCACCTTTATTATCTCATTTAATACTTTTCTCTGAGGCAGACATTGTTCTACTCTATACCTCAGGAATCCTCAGCTCAGAGAGGCTCAATCACACAAGCCCAAGGTCATAGATCAATTAGAAGGATGAGAGTCTAGGTTTCTAACTCTGTCCTTTCCGGCTTCTCACTACAAATAAGATGCAGTTTAGAGATTTTAGCCTGTAACACAAGCCCCCTCATGGGCTGTGCTTCAGCACCCTCATGCTACAGCCCTTCCACCTGTGGGTCCGATGCTTTATATGGCGCTCACCGCCTCCCTGTACTGCGGACATGCAGTCATTTACACGGTCTTCTCTGCTCCTCTTCATGTTCATCTTCCTTCCGAGATGAATTGCAGAGATCAGATTATATGCAATGCACAACCCCCACCCCCTTTATTATCCTTCTCTCCTCCCAGACAGCCCCGCAGAGCTTCTGTTCACCCCTGTTCATTCTGTGTACAATGAAGAACGTTTTACCCGGGAGGGCTCTTTCCTCCTGTCAGGGTCCATGCCAACAGTTGCCATCGGGTCAGTTCTGATTCATGATGACCCCATGTGTGTCACACGAGAACCGTACTCCAAAGAGTCTTCAATGGCTAACATTTCAGAAGTGGATCGCCAGATTGTTTTTACAAGGTGTCTCTGGGTGACCTTAAACTGACCACCTTTGGACAGCAGTCCAATGTGTTAAGCCTTTGCCCACTCAGAGATGGTCAGAGTACCTAGCTGGTGTCCGTCTACTTCTCTGAGAACACCTAGAAAGACTTCTGTTCGAATTGTTTGTCATAATCTCACCTTCCGGAGACTCCAAACACCCCATCCCTCTTCAGATGCCTAGTTCTCCACACAGCTCCTGACCAAAACCAAAGACACAGGAAGGGTTGGCTGAATGGGTGTCCAAGGCTTGTGGGCAGCGTTTATGTTTTCCAGTGTGAAAGAAGAAAATCTCAAGTGAAAAGAGTTGGGAGGAGGAGAGTTGTACTGAGATGCTTAAGTGCTGGGATTATAGCTAGGACAGTCTTTGTAAGTCTCTTCCAAATAAGCCACAAACACATCTTTGCCTCCTGATGAAGCCCATGAGGACCTGGGGAAGTGGGGTGGGGGCGGGGGTCCAGTCCGAGGAGATCGATGGGGACATGGCTGCTGAGACAAATCCATGCAACGCAAAGGAAACTTCGACGTTATGCTGTGGGGTGGTTGAAGCCGGTCACATGCCTCATTCGTTTCTTCTTCGGGAGATAGAGCAGGCTTCACACATAAGAGCTGAGCCTCAGATGTAAAAGCTGAGCTTCAAACTTAACTGTGAGTGACGTGAAGATAATGAGGTGGGGGGAGAAACAGAGTAATAAGGCTACAGAAAGACAAATGCTCTAGAGATGAAGAAGGAAACGGGAATCGATGTGGAACAAATTAAATCCAATACAATTTGCAGAATTTGGTTTCACCGCGGGGTTTCTTTACTTCCCGTACAGGAAAAGCACAACACCTCATTTGCTCCAGTTGCATGGGGAAGGGCCCTCTCTTCATGGCCTCCGTCCGATGGCTGGTTAACGGAATCAATGCCAACGGGAGTGGGAGAATTCACCAAGGATCCGTGCAGGACGAAAGGTAGTCGGAGATGCTGGTTAAAACACTCGCATGCCTTTGCTCCCAGCCCACCGTGAACACGTCAGCATTAAAATAACAAGTGCTTTCTTAGGTCTGGAAATGGACTGATTTGTCTGAAAAGGAGTCTGATGATCTCTCATGTGAAAGAGGAGGACTTGTCTCTGAAGTTGGAGTGCGAGGCCTTTAACACCATCGCAGTGACAACGCACTCTATAAGTTTAAGAAAGAAAACATCAAGTAAGAAAGATCTCATGCATCGTTCCCACCTGATTTTGTTATATCAATTGTAAACTGGGATTCTTTTCTAGGAGAAAAGTGCTTAAGTCTCAATCCAGGAGAACCAAGACCATGGAACTTGCCCCACTCATAACACACACTTGGCCCATTGAGTACAGTGCATATGTTCACGATGGGTCACCACACGTTTCTCTAGTGAAACACACAGTGGAACCACCCTTCTTCTGTGTCGTTCTTCCCTTCTCTTCTTCCTCCTTTCGTGGGTTCCTCTTTAACACCCACATTTCTCCTTGGTCATCTTTCTGCTTCTCAACTTCATGAACCCTCTCTGTCTCACTGTAGATCAAAGAAAACACAAGGACAATCAGCGATGAACCTGCTCTTTTGTCCTTGCTCTGCTTTGCAACAGTCACATCAGGTGCCACATTTTCTGGGTACCCTGTTTGACCACCAGTTTAGAGGTCAATCTGGTTCTGTGAATTCCTATGGCATCCCATTCCTACAACCATCCTCCTCACTCTGATGTTCTGCTCAACATAACAATAAGCCCCATGAGGGCAAGAGAGAGCGCTTGTCCATCTTCATCTTTGTTGAATAAATTTGTGGAGGAAGATACACCAAAGGTATCCACAAAATATTGCTGCTGCGCATTTCTATTTCTCTAGTTACACATTTTAATGATAACAACAAAACAGTATTTTATATTTGGTAAGTTGAATAACTTTCCCCATAAATTGGAAAATCCAAATCATTTCTAGCTTTCCTGGAGTTTTGTCTGAATCTAGTGCAGTATTAATGAATTTATTTTACCTTTACCCAGTACAGTATTATAGTTACACCAAAATATTAAACTTTCTACTCATTCATGGATAATACGACATTTAAAAAAGGCAACATCTCCCTTCACAAATCATTACTATACTGTGGTGAAAGGAGTTCCTAGGTTTATATTGCCATTTGCCTTGGTTCTTCAGGAAAATAGTTTGAGAGATTTT